TGTAGCCTGGGCCTGCTAAACTCATCACATCAGGGGAGGTTTCGGGGCTGCTAATGTGTCCGAAGATTCGGGCCTCCGGCACAACGCCGCCATTCATCGGGGACAGGTTCTTTCCTGTCCTGGCAATCACATAGACTCAGGTCTCCAACGTAACCATTTTCGATTGGTTGATTGCGTAACGATAAGGGTTTTTGACTTTGTCAATAGTGGTAGTATCAGAGCTAACCGACGGAACCATATTGTTGTTACCCGACTCAATTGATATGAATTGAATCGTATCACAGATCCTCACCAGGCTCGGTTGCTGACGTTTACGCCCTCTTCACTTCGTATAATCTATTGATTATCACGATCTTACAGATCTTTCGGACACGCATAGATTAAGTCTCGAATATGCACCATTAACGAAGTAGAAAAACATAGGAACGGAGCTTAGGTGAGGTCATCATCACGTACTTAACCGAGCGGCACGACCTACGTGTATTCTAATTAGCTCCGTCTTGGTGATAAGGCTTGCGTGCGGGAGGACCCCTGCCAGCCCCGGAATGACAGGCTGATCGTCTTAAATAATACTGTATAAAGAAAGTAGCTATTATAGCGGATACGGCCGATATCAGAAAAATGTTGATGACGATCTTTTAAAGCCCGGTGCTGCAGGTAAAGATATAATATGCTACCGCTCCCAGCGAGGGCCGGTTCCTCTTTTTCCAATCCCGTTTCTCCCATTTTACCCTTCTGTCATTGCATGCATATCTAATTCCATAATGAAAGTCTTCAATTGGCTGACGGCTGGCGTCATCGCCGCCACCTTTGACCATGTGCAGGCAATGCCACAAAGCCGAGAAATCCCACGATCCCAGATCGTATATCCGCCCAACTACTTCCAACAAAAAATCAACCATTTCCCTGAAAACAAGCTACCTTACGCACACGACACATTCACTCAACGATATTATTTCGATGATTCTTATTACAAGCCAGGTGTGTGACAATCGTGTTGCAAAATGATTTCAAGGATCTTGCTAATGGCGTGAACGAAAAAGGCGGACCGGTCTACCTCTACATAGGTGGGGAAACTGACGGTGAGGCCCCCGTTGGCTCCATAGCTTATCTACCACCACCATCAGACATGCAATTGTTTGGACACAATGTGCCAAAGCCGGAGATTGCTGCCTGTTCGGCGTATATGACTATCACGCACCAGTGTAACGCTGACGTATCGCGTGATAGGACCAAGTCGGTTCTCGAATCTACAGACTGGAATCATTCAAATTCTTATGCAAGGTCAGCATCAGCTCGGGTATAACAAACTCTATCCATTTCAGCTGACCTGCCTTGTCAATAGCTACCAATGGGCTCGGTGTCATTCTTGAGAACCGATTCTATGGGGAAAGCTACCCGTTCAATACTTCCACCACGGATCAGCTCGCTTTTCTCACCACGGCGCAGACAATTGCAGATAACCAATACTTCGCCGAGAATGTGAAGTTTGGTGGCATCAAAGCCGATCTTACTGCTCCCAAGACCCCTTGGATTGTTTACGGTGGTAGTCTGGCCGGAGCTCAGACTGCCTTCACGCTCAAGACGTATGGCAACACCACCTTTTACGGAGGTATAGCGGCTTCGGGGGTCATTCACGTTTCTGTTGGATATCCGTAAGTTAGAGAAAGACTATCTTAGCTTATGCTCTTGGGGATCCCTTGCTCCGCTGAAAGTCCTTGCTGATCGGACTGTTCTTCCAGGGAGTGGTATCTACCGATTATGAGGTTTGCGCCACAGGTAAGCGATTCCAAAGCCTTGTATGGCCAAGTATACTTCGGCCACTTTAGTCTGACCGAAACACCTATGTAGGACTGCGTTGGTAGAATCTACAATATTATCGACAAGTTCGATGATCTCGTCGCTAAGAAGAACACGGCTGCCATCAATGAATTCAAACAGATCTTTGGCCTTGAGTCACTAACAGACAATCGAGACTTCGCTACAGCCATCAACAATCCGATTGGAAACCCGGGCGAGTACCTCGCCAATACCTGGCAAGAGCTGAATTGGAATTCGACGTTCGGTTCACGTGATTTTTTCTATTTCTGCGACAATGTCACGAACATCGACGCTCCAAAGGAGATTACCGAGGTCGATTATGCCTTGAGCAAGTACACGGATGGCGAGCCATGGTTCGGCCTAGGAAATTATGCAGTAAGTATCACCGCGAACTGGGTTTATTAATCCTTGATAAGCTTTTCAAATCACAAGCAATACACTGACCACCCCCTGCTAGAATTATGTTAAGAAATACATATTACCTCTATGTCCCGGTGGGGATTACAACAGCTTCGACTGTTGGGTTAGTTTTCTTTCTCTCTCTGCTGCCAACTTGTCAGCCGTTCATACAGATGTACTGTAGCTTACTTGGAATAGGGAACCCAAAACCCTGAAGCATGGGCGAATGTGTCGAATTCATTTTTGCGCTCCTACACATGGACAAGCTGCGCCGAACAAGTATGGGTCTTCCTTTTATTTTCGGCTCTTTTATCTCTTGTTCTTGTTTTAATATGACCCTACTGTCATTAGGGTCTGTATATCGACGCGCCTAAAGAAGGCCCCAGTCTATTATCGCGTGTCGTGGATATTTCTTATGAACAGCAGTGGTGCAAAGTAAGTTTTCTCCATATGAAGTCGTAATTTCGTATTCCATAAGCCTAATGCCTTTTGCAACCTTCAGTGGGCATTCCCAGACGGTGAATACAACAAGGTACCCGCATCTCCCAACCTCGATGCCTACAACGGCTACGGTGATTTCAACTTCACTGCAGACCGGCTGGCTTTTATTGATGGTGAGCAAGATGTTTGGAACTATGCTTGCTACCACTCTCCAGAAGCCGGGCTTCGACAACAGACTTCAGATCTACATCCGGAGATGTGGATTACTGGTTCTGGACATCATTGGGACAGTTACGGAATTCTTGATGTCGAAGCTGAACCTCAGTTCATTCGTGAGGCTCATCTATGGGAGATCAGGACAGTTAAAAGGTGGCTCAAGGACTTTAGCTCTTGGAAGCCGGCTAAATATGCTTAGTTGAATACTGACATTATTGGAAACTGCATAAAGAGAAGACCGATATCTCATGTGATCTAGAGACTTCATGTCTAGAGAACTCTAATCTTAATAGGTAGCCTAGATATATTTTGTTGCCACATGATATGGCACAACCAATACGTGCGGTGTGAGGATCCTTCGCCTCGATTGTCTCGTATCATCCTATGTACAGCTATTCGTATTTAGATTGAATTCTTAGTTCTCGTCGTCATACATGATTGAGAAAAGCTCTTCTCGGCGGAATAATCGGAGTGTTCTAGCCTCATCCTCAATTGCTGCGACCAGTTCTCTCTTCTCCCAGACATCCAGCAGCTTTTCACGCAAATTGCTGTTCTTGATCCGTGACACGTGAAGCCCGAGACCCACGGCAAATCTTTTATTGTGGTGTGTACAAGGAAGCTCGAATTTCACGTACTCAGCCAAGACATTCAGCCGCTCTCTCATTGGTAATGATGAGACGCGGGAGATCTTGTGGAGGAATTTGTCGGGGACGTCAGCGCTGCACCCGCAACGTTTCCAGCCTGTAGTCCAATCTGTGACCGGCATCGAAGTTTCCTCATCAGGCAGCAACTCCTCCTCGTCGATGTCCTTTTTCTGGGAAGCATCACCAGGATCGCTCAAAGGTGGACTGGGTATGACATCCCGCACATCATGAGCTTGAAAAGTTGGGTTGATTGCATTGTCTTGGGTTTGAAGCCCATAATCAATGGTCTCACGCCTTTCGTCTATTGGTGTCCATTCAGTTCTAGAATTTGAGGCTAGAAGACCGAATTGATCGAAATGCATCTCGTGCCTGTTAAGCCAGAATTCATCTGGGCTAATGGCAGAGGACAGGAGAGTTCGCTGAAACTTGCCGAAGCGAGCATTATTCAGATCCGAGCTTGTGATATCTTTTGAGTAGCGTATGCCTTTCTTCCGGCAAGAAAGTCGAAGTTGCACACTTGTGTTGATGCGTTGCCGGGCTGATGGCCAATCACGGACTGTGCGAGACAATGCTCGTAGTCTGTCGAAGAACGTCTTGGAGAATCGAATAGAGGATTTCGTCTCGAGCCAATCTAACCAGGCTAATGCCGTAGGCTCATGATACCACGTCGACTTGATGCTTTTTATAGCTTCTTGTCGTCGATCTCTTTCTTTGCGGATCTCCCGAGCCCATGATAGCTCGTCTTGGAATGTTCGTTCAAATGCGCTATATGTTTCTAGCACAGATTGGTAGGCAACCGTATCTTTTTCTAAGTAGCTCATGTACCGCTCGAAAGTGTCCACATCTTTAGATAAATTTTGAAATGCATGTCGAGCTATTGTTTCTTGTGTGCGGAAGCGGTCGCGAGGATCCGCGATAGTTTCAAGCCATGCAATAACTTCATCGAGAGCTCCCAGCGCTCGCCCTTTGTAATAAAAAATATGAGATTTTCCAGATTTTTCCAGCGGCATTATGATTGATACTATCCCCTATGTTTCAGCATGGAAAAAATCTCCAAGCTGAGCGAACTGTTGGGGTGAGAGTTTTTTGATAGCTAGTCTAGCTAGTCTGAAAGCGTCCAGCTTGCGGGCAGCCATGTCCTTTGTTCCTGATCAGTGTCAGAGAGCGCCGCCCATCTGAATTACTACCACAAGTCATCTAACTTCTGCATTAATGTAAACCAATACCAACTCATGTAGGACAATTCCTAGGCGATAGCCAGCGAAGTACAGGCGCTTATACAGCTTTCATCCCAGTCGCACCGTCTAAGTCACTGACCGTTACTTGTCTGGTTAGCAGCTGGCAAGGTGAGCGATCCGCCGGATCCGGCCGGAGCAAGGTAAAATGATATGATGGGTCCGGTACTTCACCGGGGACTTGGCGCTGCCCACACAATGCTTAGTATAATGTGATAAGAAAGCGTCTTTCAACAATCCACCTGGTCGGTTAGCTCAGTTGGTTAGAGCGTCGTACTAATATAGAATCTCCTATATCAAGTAAATGCGAAGGTCATGAGTTCGACCCTCATACTGACCATTGTCGTCTTTTTGCCGTGTTGTAGTTTATTTATCTTTTGTTCTGACTATTCTGGCCGACTTGTTGCTGGCCTGCTAATCTGGCTGGAACATTATCTGCCAAGGCGGAAAGGGAGAAGTGGAAGACGCCAATATGCTGCATTGTATCATGTGAATATTAATGCTTGGGGATATCATTAAAAACACATTTGTTTAATACACAGCTAGGGTCTTGATGGTTGCGGTGTATATAGTGTAATTCATGGGCAGGATAGATCAAGGGAAATCATTGTCATGACTCATAGGCATAGATGGACAGTGACTATCAATAATATCCAGCTAGGTTTCGGAATCAAGAGAGCGGGAGAAGGGAAGGAAGATCAATCATTCCATGAACTGTCGATTGCCTACAATGCCTGTTCCATATCATGCCACTTTATCTTACAATTACCATCTTGTAAGTGGATTGCACATCAGAGTGGTAACGTAGGGGGTGGAATAAAGATCTATTGACTTCTGGCCTTCTACCCCTAGAGGAGGGGAACAAGGCCTAGCTATATAGTACCAAAAGAGAGGCTATTCCGGCTATTGATCAATACGATATCTAGAGTTCTCGTATAATTATAGGGGGTTGGTTGGGCTCATACGATATCAGAAGGCTGGGCTGACAGGGCTTCCCCCCAGGTATGCCTATGACACATCTGTACTGACTATTCTTCAATTAAGGGAGAGCATGCTGATTTCATCTGTTAGGAGGTAAGTAGCAGTGAGTGTTCAATCAGATCCTGCCGCTACAGTCTGCATGATTTTCACCTTTCTTATCTGCGTACTTGTTGATAATGTGCAAATTCTGATCATCACTTTGTCACAGAGGTATCAATATGTATCTAGGCTCAGAATGGACGACCTCATTCTTGATTAGATCTAGCAACCTATCATTCCTTTTCGTGAAACAGATCGGGCTTGCAGGTTAGATTGCTTTGCTCGCCATTTCCAATCTTCTCAAGTACGCGAAGCTGATAAATGTCTTGATGCCCGAGGTTTACGATCAAGGAATCAGCCTTTGTTGTATTTAGCACTTGAAGCAACAGTGGTTCGGTCTCGGGCTTGAGCAAGGTCATATAGCTTCCAGGGGCATTGTTGTATTCGGTTGAAATATCATGTCAATACGTGCGGGCACTTAATTGTCTCACGCATTGGATACGAGAGTTTTTGCTTCGAGGCATCATTTTCTGTTAGTTCTGTAATCACTCCTTAATGGAAAGCTTCTCTCCATGCGTCAGTGGACTTGCATCGTTTCAGCACTGGGGCCCCGCGGTCTTTGCCCTTTTAGTGAGTTTTCTTTCATATGTAGATGAGTGTTGGTATATAGATCTTCTATGTTCTCGATACGACGGATCTCTTGCGAATATTATGGGTAAATCTCAAAGAGTTCTGTGCTCTCGTTTAGAGAGTGAACAAAGTGAACTGATACAAAAGAAGGTGCTGCCGGACGGACGAAATGGTCCTGAGGAAGCTCAAACATCATGGGGCTTTAGAAATTGTCCCTATGATATAATCCAATCCTACTCTATCATCATCATCATCATCATCGACGTTCATCATCGACGTTTCTATCATAACGAGCTAGCTGTATCTAGAAAGCAGCAATGGCTCGAACAGCTGCGATATAAATGTAAGTTATAATAATAGCAATGATGTTGATAAATGTTTAACAAGTTAATATCGAATGACTAGGTAGTTATTACCTATGCATCTATAAAACAACCGTTTGTCTTATCACGTCCGACTTTCTTTTCTCTTAACCTACTTTAATACATATGTAATTAAACTAAGTAAAGGCTAAATAAAAGGCTGTATATATATCTAAAACAAGTTAAACGATAAAAGATAATTTTATAAATTAATGTTAATTATAAAATATTATAAAAGTTTACACTTAATGTTTATTAATTAAATTTAAAATATTAAGTTAATGCTAAAGTTCTACTTTGGGGTTTTGTTTGTTGAGTGGGTGTGAGGTGTGGAGAAATTGGTCTGGTCGGAATGTTCACCCCAGAATTTTGTGCC